AATTTGAGGCAGAGGGAAAGTCCACCAACCTTCAAAGAGACGTGGCTTCCAGATCACAGCCAGAGAGAATTCGCACTCGAGAACCCCAAGTTTCGCTGCTTGCAAACTCACCCCAGTTCCCGGCTACTCACCCAGCACCAGGACCATCTGGCCGCACAAACAGTAGTAGACGTGGAGGGGCTTCTCGCCGTCGTCATACTCCTCCCGATCCCGGGTGTCAGAGCACACGACCGATCGGGACACAACTTTAGGCATGGTTCAAAGGAGAGGCCCACAAACTCCACGCCAAAAATAAGGGTTGCGCCTAAATGACGTAATAGCCCTGCGCCAAGCCTTTTCCCTACGTTGACTCTGGTCACGTGTCAGTAGTAGTCATGTGGACTTCCGGGAGGTTCCATTAGGCTAAAATGCTCAGGGGCGGTCCAGAGCAGAACCTCTTTTGCCTTGGCCTAAGTTAGCTGGGACTGCTTGACTCGGGACACTCTTAATATTATTTAAATTATTCATTTATACATCTATACATGTATGCATGTGTATATGCATATATATACATATATAAAACCAAATATAACTAAGGAATATGTATATATTATACACATTATAGGTTTAGTGCATTTTTAACTGTGCCTCTGATTTTAATGGCTGTATTCAGGATGAGTACCAAATAGAGACATTTTTTTAAAGCTGAGATATAATTCGCATGACATAAAATTCACCCTTTAAAGTGTATAATTCAGTGGTTTTTAGTATATTCACAAAGTTGTATAATCACTACCACTATCTAATTTCAGAGCATTTTTATCATCTCCCTGCAAAAATCCCAGAACCTTAGCAGTCAATTCCCACCTCTTTCTCAGCCCCTGGCAACCCCTAATCTACTTTCTGTTTCTATGGATTTTCATCTTCTGGACATTTCATATGCATGAAATCATACACTATGTGGTTGTTGGTATATGGCTTCTTTCACTTAACTTCACTTAACTTCTTTCACTTAACTTCACTTAACTTCTTTGACGGTCCATCAGTGTTATAGTGTGAATCAATAAAAAGTAATGAATCAGTAAAAAGGAACTTCAATTTTTTTTATAGCTGAATAATGTTTTGTTACATGGATGTAACACATTTTGTTTAGTCGTTCATCAGTTAATGGACATTTGGGTTGTTTCCACTTCTTGAATGTAATGACCAACACTACTATGAATGTTGGCGTACAAGTTTTTTTGAGGACATATGTTTTTTGTTCTCTTGGGTGTATATATTTAAGAGTAGAATTGCTGGGTCATATGATAACTTAATGATTAATCTTTTGAGGAACTGCCAAGAGTGTTTTCCAAAGCTGCTTTACCATTTTTATATTCCCATCAGGAATCTATGTGTGTGTAAACGGGGGTTTCTGATTTTGTCACGTCCTCACCAATAATTATTTTTGTCTGTCTTTTTGATCATGGCCATCCTGGTGGGTGTGAAGGAGTATCTCTTTGATTCACCTTTCCCTGCTGGCTTATGATGTTGAGCACTTTTTCACATGTTATTTGTCATTTATATATCTTTTTTGGAGAAATGTCTAGTCAAATTCTTTCCCCATTTTTAATTGGGTTATTTGTTATTTTATTGTCGAGTTGTAAGAGTTGTTATACCTTCTGGATACTAGACCCTAATCAAGTAAATGATTTGCAATAGAGGCATCTTAATGATCCTGTTTGCCACAGGAATAAGGGAATATCTTCCACCCTTCCTTTCTCCAACTCAGAAACTCTCCCAGAATGCTCTTTGTGGAGGACAGGATCCTAAAGCCACCCAGAATAAGGACATTAAGACAGTTTACATTGAATAACTTCAATAATCCAGATGATGACACCAAAATAGTGGGTTTTTAACAGAGAACTTACTGAATATAGCAAGAGCTTATGACTAGAAAATTGACAGGTTACCTGGAAGAAGTGTAATGTTCAAGATACACAAGATATAAACCAATGGGAATTTAAAGCAATCTGCTAGCCCTCGAACGAACATGAGTTAAATAAAGTATAAAAGAAATATCAGTGCAAGACTTAAAGAATCACAGTGTTTGCTCCTTAGGTCTTTGTCCAATGTCATCCCTTTGATTCTGTTATTCAGTATTTATTGATTTTGTACTGCATGTCAGGCACTGTGCTATATACTGGTTGTGTAGTGATCAATTATAAATAGTCTTCCCCCCTCATGTGGTGTAGTCTAGTGCAGGGGTGGGTAAACTTTTTCTGTAAAGGGCCAGAGAGTAATTACTTTAGGCTTTGAGGGCCAAGAGGTAAAATCAAGAACATTATGTAGGTGCTTATATAACAAGAGAGAAAACAAGTTTCCACAAATGTTTTATTGATGAAGTTCAAAATATAATCATAATTGAGTATAATTTTTGGAAATACAGGCCCGCTAATGGGAAGAATGGCATTCTTTGATAGAGGTAGATAACATTTCACTTAATTAGGGTTCAAAATGAGTGTCCTCTATCATCAAAATCAGTTGCGATCTCAATATACATTTAAAAGTTTTTAAGTTGCTTCGTATCTGGTCAAGTTGAGATTTTTAAGAATATTAAATTTGTAATAAAAGTTTACAATTTGATTTTTTTCAAGAGTCAACAAACTCCAAGCACGTGTTAGTAAAGGTCTTAAATAATTTTTAAAAATCAGTTGCAAACATTCATCTGCTAATGCTCATCTGCAACAAGATTTCATGTATTTCATCTCTGAAAAGAAATAAGAAAAGATAGTACTGCCAAATACTGATATCAATCCACAAGCAACTGATTTTAATTGAGCATATTCATCTCTTAGAAGACACTTAGAAAATCCTATTAGATTCTTGATATTTGCCTTTTAGTATGTTATTACATTGCAGAGTAATCACTTCCAATTGAAGTTTAGGTAGAAGCATCTCAAATGCACAAAATGATTTTGAAATTCAGAAATTTCCTTTGCACTTTGCATTGAGGTCCAAAAACTGACACGGGAACTGTAATTTGAGATCAGAAAATATATCCACTGCAAATTTGTGTGGGAATGCAAATCTCGATTTTTGTTTTAACTTTTTACAGCACAGGAAGTGATTAAAGTAACTTCATGTTACCTTCGATTCAAACAATGTTAGTTGTCATTGAAATGACTTTACTGCAGTACAAGTTTCACATATAAGCGATATTTTGCCTTGTAATTTTAGGTTAAATTCATTAAATAACATTATCAAGTCTACAGCAAAAGCTAATTTAAAAGACCACTCGCATCTACAGCCATGCTACCCTGAACAAGCCCAATCCCGTCTGATCTCGGAAGCTAAGTAGGGTCAGGCCTGGTTAGTACTTGGATGGGAGACCACTTAGGAAGACCAGGTAGAAAAAAAAGGGATTGTAAGCCGACAAGGTCCTTGCAATCTATGAGGTCAACCAAGGGTTGCCTCGCTTAAAAAAAAAATTTTTTTTAAAGTCCACTCAGCGTTCAAACAATAGTGATTGAGAGTGGTTCTTCTCATTCAGAAAAATTTCAATCTCAGTCCTATTCAGCTTCTATTTCTGACAAAAATTCTTGAAACTGACAATGGTTTTGAAACTGACACTGTTGACATTAATGATTGAATAACACAAGATAGATTTAAATATTTTCCTGCAAAGTGCCTGTTGTTCAATAACTCAATAAATAATCATAGGATTTAACCAACTTGCATTTTTCTCAAGCTTTGTACATTTGTCCAACTAAGCCCTTTTCTGTGTCGTACATATTCGTCACATGTTAACAGACTCTGCTTCAGGTTGTATTGAACTAGTGTTTACTTTGGAAATATTATCATCTGCAGTTGTTCCACAAAGATTACCCATACAGGCCAATTCTTCCAGTACTTTAACCTCAGCATTGACTCTGAGTAAACAACAACTGAACAGTATTGGTAACATCTGTGAACTCATCAAGAGTCAAGGAAAACCACTAGAAATCATTTACTCTGTTTTTTAAATGACTAATGATGTTACTTCCAATGTCCTTAGCTCTTCGAACCACCATTCATGTTGAAAGTCTGATAGTCTTTAAAAAGTTTATTTTCCCTGGACACATTTCCTTGACTTCTACAGTCAAACATGATTTAATTAACTCACCATCAGTTAATGGTTTTCCTTGCTTGACTAACAAATTAGCCACTCAGAAACTTACTTCGGCTGCAGCTTCATTTTCATTTTTGTGAAGAAGTCTGCTATGATAAGATATTCCATTTTAAACTTTCTAATTTTTCTAACCATTGCTTTCCTGTGAGCTGGGAACATTGCAGTGAGTGCTTAATTTGCTAATGTCCGTGTATATTGTATTCTTTTAGCAATGCTACAGTGTCATTGTGTAATAAACATAATGCTTTGACATCTGATTTGATCGCCGAATAGCCTACACTTAAACGCATGATATTCAAAATCCACTTTTACTTCCTTGTTTTGACATAATATATTCACTTTTAATTTTTAAAACTGCCACAATATTGTGATACACATGGCACTCAAAACACTATTGAGTTATAACTGTATCACTGTGATTTGTAGTTAACTGACCACGTGAAGTGATGAGAGCACCAAATACAGTCTCTGTCACAGCTACTCGACTCTGCCATTGTAGCACAAAAGCAGTCACGAGCAATGCATAAATAAAAGAGCATGTCTGTATCTCAATGAAACTTTATGAGAATTTAAATTTGAATTTTGTATTGTCTTTGTCATGAAATATTATTGAATATTATTCTTCTTTTGATTTTTTTCAACCATTTAAAAATATAGAAAATTATTCTTAGCTTGCTGGCCATAGGGAAAAAAATGGCAGGCTGGATTTAGTTGTAGTTTGCTGGTGGACATGGCTGGTTTGATTGAATTCCCACGTGCAACACTGTAGCCATGTATGCTAGTTTCCTATTGCTGCTGTAACAAACTACTACAAACCTAGTGGCTTAAGAAAACACAAATTTAATATTTTACATTTCTGGAGATCAGAAGTCCAAAAGCAATCTCAGTGGTCTAAAGTCAAAATGTCAACAGCACTGATTGCTCCTAGAGGCTCCAGGGAAGAATCCACTCTTTGCCTCTTCCAGGTCCTAGAGGCTGCCCACATCCCTTGGTTCCTTGGCTGGTGGCTGTATCACTCCAATCTCTGCTTCCATTGTCACATGGCCTTCTTTCTGAATTCAGACTCCTCCTTCCCTCTTACAAGAACTATGTGATCACATCAGGCCCACCTATTTTATATAATCTCCCCATCTTGAAAATCTTAATTTAACCACATCTGCAAAGTTTCTTCTGCCATATAAGGTCATATATTTACGAGTTCCAGAGATTAGGACATGGAGGTCTGGGGCTGGGGGCATTATTCAGCCTGCCACACCATTGTCTTTGTTTCCCTTGATTCAGCAATTCAGCCGGTAGTGAAATCCTGTTCATGCCCTAATTTCCCCCATTTCTCTTAAGTGTCACTATTTCTCTCTCCTCTCCCTCCTTTCTCTTTTCTCCTTTTCTCCTCCTTTCCCTCTTTCTCCTCTCTCTCCTTTTCTTTCCTTATGTCCTAGGGGCTATAGATGGACAGCATACTACTACTTTTACTGCTAAAAGCACATGCTGTGACAACTGTTGTTTCCTATGTGATTCTCTTGTCTTCTAAGGTTATTGGAGTCCAGAAAGACCTTGTGATTCTATTTTCTGTTGTTTCTTAGTTGCCATTTGTACTAAATTTTATCAATAGAAGTGGAAACTATAGGAAAAGAAAATTCTTGCCTTCACTGGTTAACAGAAATACAAACTCACAGCCTCATAAGGCCAGAAATGATTGTTTATCTGGTCTCACTCTCCAACCCAAAATAGTTCAGGAAAATCACAATCTATTCTGCATTTTGAAAGCCTCATCAATGAAATTTCACAATTTCCCTAGTCATATATTCCCATACTTCTCAGTCCTCCATTTAAAAAAAATTCTCAAATTCTTGCCTATGGACAATTTGGATTTTTTTTTTTTTTACTCTTCCCTGCAGTCACTGCTAATATACTGTAAGCTGCAAAGGACTTCTATTTTCTTGACCCTTGCTCTTGGGGCAGAGGGGATTCTTGGCTGTGAAGATATTATTTCTTCAAGATGTCAAGGTGAGAAGTGGGTAGAAGCACTGCTTGGTCAACTCTGCTATAGTTAGTATGTTCTAGCCTGATAATCATCTTTGTTAGAGCACGTTCTGTGTTGCTGCTTGCCATGACAACCCTGCTTCTGATGAAGAATGTGGGGGGCACAGTGTTCTTATTATTTTTTTTTTTTTAGGCGAGGCAACCCTTGGTTGACCTCACAGATTGCAAGGACCTTGTCGGCTTACAATCCCTTATTTTATTTATTTTATTTTTTAATTTTTTACATTTATAGCACCTGGTCTTCCTAGGCGGTCTCCCATCCAAGTACTAACCAGGCCTGATCCTGCTTAGCTTCCGAAATCAGATGGGATCGGGTTTGTTCAGGGTAGCATGGCCGTAGAGTAGGGGGCACAGTGTTCTTACATTGCAATTCCACTGTGCAGTCAGGATATTCTCCCCATATCCTGGTGCCGTGGGGCTTCCAAATGGCTTTGGTTCATGCTCCTGAGTTTTCTTAATTGGGTAGTTCAAGGAAAGAACAAAGGAGTTTCAGAAAACATATGAGCCCACAACAAACTCAAATACATCTCTAGCCTTTGATGGCTTTCAGATATTTATATCCAGTGGCAGGAGCTTCCCAATCTCTTTCCTACTCTGCGGTACATTATATGCCGCTTCTCAGTAGGATGTTTTCAACACATCCTTCTTAGGCTCAAACACCTATGAAAAGCTGCCTATCAAGCCTAATTCCTCATCCTTGCATTTGGGGGCATTTAATCAACTTCTGTCACCCTCAGTTTTCCAAGCAGAGGTCTCCTCATTCTCTATTAGCCACGTTAATCTGCCCACTATCCCCAGAATGTCCTTATTTGTGCTGTAGCCCTTATAGAAACTGCTTGAGTTCTTCTCTCCCAAGCCCTGCTTTTATCTCTTTTGAACAAAGTTGAAATAGATCTATCCCAGGAAGTTTGTTCTAACCCCACCAGACCAATGAGTCCCCTGCTGTGCAGTCCCTCAGCATTTGTGGATTCGTATGCTTCTGCTATGTATCTCACTGCTGCTCTGACAGTTAGAATTCTAAAACGCCACCCCTCCCTCAAGATTCCTGTCTACTGATGTGCACACACCTTCTTCCAGTTATTCAATCAGATGCAAATCTAGGTTCCACTGTGAGGGAATTTTGCAGTTGTAATTAAGGTCTCAAATTAGATTATTTTAAGATAAGACATTACTTAGGGGTGGGCCTGACCTAATCAGATAGGCCCTTGAAGTGAACTGGGCTCTTCCTGTGAGAGGGATTTGATGGGAAAGAAATTCTCTGTTGCTGGCTCTAAAGATGGAATAGGCCTCGTGACAAAGAATGTGGGAGACCTCTAGATGCTGAGAATGGTCCCGGCTGGCAGTCAGTGAAGAAATGGAGGCCTTAATCCTACAACTGAGAAGAGCTGAACTTGACCAACAGCTTGTGGTAATTTGTTGAGCAGTAATAGAAAACAAATACATTTGCTTTGGTGACTCTTGCTTTTGTTGATTTCATATATGTGTATTAGTGCAAGTTCCTACATGAGAGGAAAAGGTTTTTTAAATTTATTTTTGTACCACCTTCCCGCCACAGCCATAATGTGAGGCTCTTAGGGAGACTTGCCTTAACCGATATGTTGGAGTTAATGGGAGATATAAATCCTTGGCCATGAAGGTACCTGTTGCTAAGCAGCAGCTAGAATAACTACCATTGTCAAGAGTCTCCTGCCTCCCATGTTAGAAACAAATCTCTGCATATCTTATATCTTCTGGACATCTTCACATGGATATTTCACCTGTCCCTAAACTTCAATAAGCCTCTAAACTCCCTCTCCAAAAACCGCCCTTCCTCCTCTATTCTCTAATTCTGTTAATGGCACCTTTAAACCTCCAGTTGGGGCTCTAACCCTTGTTGACTCTTTCCTCTGTCTTGACTTCACATTCGATCTGTTGCCAAGTCCCCTCTATTCATCCGCTCCTCTCCATTCTTATTATCACTGCCTGGTTTGGTATTTCTCACTTGAAATGCTTCAAGAGTCTCTCTTGTAGCTGCTCTTCTGGGACCAATCTCTAATTTGCACAGCTCTAATTATGTCACTTCTCTGCTCATCCACCTTCCAAGAAATCCATTAGCTTGGCATTCAAAATTCTCCAGGACTTAACCCAAACCTACCTTTCTCATATTTTCGAAAGTTCTTAAATGAGTATTTTGCCTATCTTCTAAGTTATTTGGTGTTGACCTTTAAAAATTATTCTTTACAACTGTTATTGCTTTTGCAGGTCCTCATCCTGTGACTCTTCCCTGCAACCTGCAGGTTTTTTGCACATATCTTCCCGTTACTTTTACTTCAGATCCACTGTCCTTCCAATTCTCTGCAGTCGGACATTCTCAGACCTTGGACCCTTCTGAACATATACCAGGCGCTCAGCTTGTTGAACTGCCAAGGAGAAATGTGGTTCCAGAACCAAATTGTGAGTGTCCAGAGCTAAAACCCTATTCTCACCTTAAGCTCTCATTCCGTCCCTCAGGACACACACCACCATTTATTCTGCTTTGGGGTGATCACCAGCCCAAATGTTGGGACCCTAATCCCGCACATTCATCCCACAGAGAAGGGACCCACAGCCCCCCTACATAGTCGAGGCCGATTTATTCTTTTGATTTGCAGTGATTTCATAACGGGTCACACACATCCCCTCCCAGGTCTCCTGTGTCCGCAGGGGATGTTCACCCTAGAGTTCCCGCTTTCTGAGAACCGCTTTGCTTCCGCCCACTCCCTCCTCCTCTAGTTTGAGATTTCTGTCCTTCTCCCTCAGCCTCAGGGCGCACTTTAAGTGATCTGGTTAAAAAAAAAAAAAAGCCAAGAAAAGCTTCCCAGAGTTCGTCCTAGATTTGGCGAGTGGGGATGGAGCCCATTCCACCACCCAATCCTGATGAATTGTAGGCTTCGGTTGGCCCCACAGCCTGCCTCTCAGCGCTCGGCCGGCTTCGGCGGAGGTTTAATGACCTAAGCAACTTTCCATCCCACACCTCCACCCCACCCCCGTGCGTCTTGG